GTACATATAGTTTCTTAAGCAATCAATTTAGAGATGCGAATTGTTTATACATTTTCAATGTTATCAATTATTTTTATTCAATGCTATTTCTCATGCTATAAGAGCGAGGGAGAGGGAGTTAAATAGAGAGAGAAAGAAATAGACAAGACAGACAGACAGATATATATAGATATATAATGTATGTAATATCCATACACATACCCCTACATACACATACAAAGACACACACCCTAACAGGATCCCCCACAAGCAAAACAACCTCCCCCCCACTGAGCCCCAACACAGGACCGAGGACACGCCGCCGCCGTAGGGCTTTAGGGGAACCCCGGGCGCCCTCTCGCCGCTCATGGGATTCAAGGGACCATAAAAGCCCCTAACGTACGTGCTCATGGCGGCCCATGGGAGGGAAATGTCAGGCTGTGTTTCCGCCTTGTTTGTGGGGGAGGCAAGCGGTAAGAGGTATGGGGGGGGAGGGAGAAGAGGGAGGGAGGGAGAAGAGGGGGTGGAGGGGGAGAGAGAAGAGGGGGTGGAGGGGGAGAGAGAAGAGGGGGTGGAGGGGGAGAGAGAAGAGGGGGTGGAGGGGGAGAGAGAAGAGGGGGTGGAGGGGGAGAGAGAAGAGGGGGTGGAGGGGGAGAGAGAAGAGGGGGTGGAGGGGGAGAGAGAAGAGGGGGTGGAGGGGGAGAGAGAAGAGGGGGTGGAGGGGGAGAGAGAAGAGGGGGTGGAGGGGGAGAGAGAAGAGGGGGTGGAGGGGGAGAGAGAAGAGGGGGTGGAGGGGGAGAGAGAAGAGGGGGTGGAGGGGGAGAGAGAAGAGGGGGTGGAGGGGGAGAGAGAAGAGGGGTGGAGGGGGAGAGAGAAGAGGGGGTGGAGGGGGAGAGAGAAGAGGGGGTGGAGGGGGAGAGAGAAGAGGGGGTGGAGGGGGAGAGAGAAGAGGGGGTGGAGGGGGAGAGAGAAGAGGGGGTGGAGGGGGAGAGAGAAGAGGGGGTGGAGGGGGAGAGAGAAGAGGGGGTGGAGGGGGAGAGAGAAGAGGGGGTTGGAGGGGGAGAGAGAAGAGGGGGTTGGAGGGGGAGAGAGAAGAGGGGGTTGGAGGGGGAGAGAGAAGAGGGGGTGGAGGGGGAGAGAGAAGAGGGGGTGGAGGGGGAGAGAGAAGAGGGGGTGGAGGGGGAGAGAGAAGAGGGGGTGGAGGGGGAGAGAGAAGAGGGGGTTGGAGGGGGAGAGAGAAGAGGGGGTGGAGGGGGAGAGAGAAGAGGGAGGGAGGGAGAAGAGGGAGGGAGAAGAGGGGGTGGAGGGGGAGAGAGAAGAGGGGGTTGGAGGGGGAGAGAGAAGAGGGGTGGAGGGGGAGAGAGAAGAGGGAGGGAGGGAGAAGAGGGAGGGAGAAGAGGGGGTGGAGGGGGAGAGAGAAGAGGGAGGGAGGGAGAAGAGGGGGTGGAGGGAGAGAGAGAAGAGGGGGTGGAGGGGGAGAGAGAAGAGGGGGATTGGAGGGGGAGAGAGAAGAGGGTGTGGAGGGGGAGAGAGAAGAGGGAGGGAGGGAGAAGAGGGAGGGAGAAGAGGGGGTGGAGGGGGAGAGAGAAGAGGGGGTGGAGGGGGAGAGAGAAGAGGGAGGGAGGGAGAAGAGGGAGGGAGAAGAGGGGGTGGAGGGGGAGAGAGAAGAGGGGGTGGAGGGGGAGAGAGAAGAGGGGGTGGAGGGGGAGAGAGAAGAGGGGGTGGAGGGGGAGAGAGAAGAGGGGGTGGAGGGGGAGAGGGGAGAGGTAGGGAGAGGAGGGGATGGAGGGGGAGAGACAGGAGACAAGAGGGAAGGGAATGAAAGGGGAAGGGGAGAGATGAATAGAAGGGGGGGGGGGAAAGGGAGGGGAAATGGAAGAGGAAGGGGAAGGGTGTAAGAGGGGAGAAGGACAGGTGGAGATGGGGGGGGGGCGGTTAATGGCACGCAGGAGGATAGGAAAAAGTGGAAGACGTGGAGGTAAAGGGCAAGGTGGAAGAGGAGGTGGGAGAGAAGGAGAATTTGGGAAGAAGACGAAGACAAAGAAAAGACAGATATAAGAGACGAAAATTAAGATAAGGAAGGGACAGAGACAGGAGAACCGGAAGAAAAAGAAAAAGAAAACAAAATAAAGCGAAAGAGAAAGCGAGAGACTCTCCAACACGGCCGTCGGGCCTTTAAGCAGAACAAAAGAATTTCAAAACATCGATGCTATTTTCTCTTGCTCTTATTCCTCTCTTCGTTACCTCTTGCTTCTCTATCTCTTCTCTCTCTATTCTCTTCTCTCCCCCATAGTCATATCATCCCTGATAAAACTCACATTTCATCTTCATTTGATATGCTGCTCCTTTCACTCACTCCCTACCTCTTCAAATACCTATCTATCTATCTATTGCACTTTCATTTTCTTTCGAACCCGTCTCTTTCTCAATGGATTTTCTCTTGCTTCGATTCCTTGTCTATCTGTCTATTGAACCCCCCCCTCGTTATATCTTTTACTTCTAAATCCCACCCTGCATATCTATCTATCCTTATATCTATCTATCTATCTATCTACTGAAATTTGATTGACTCTCACCCCCCCCCCCCCCGCCGCCTCTCTCTCTCTCTCTCTCTCTCTCTCTCTCTCTAATACCCTTCTCTCTAATACCCTATCTATCTATCTATTTATCTGTCTACTTTCACTTTATTGAGTTATCCTCCCCTCGCCATCTCTCTCTCTCTCTCTCCTTCTGTCACACAAACACAAACCTTCCCCATCGGATGCTTCAATGACACAATTCTGAAGCCACACATCCTCTGGACACTCAACGTCAACAGTTCGGGGAAATTCCCTCCATTTTTATCTCTGCTGTCTTTTTTTTCCGAACATCTTAACATTTTTATCCTAACCGAAGCGCAACCAGCATGACAAATAAAACAAATACAAAACACACAAAAAATAAACCTATACATACAAACAAAAAAAATCTTCTGGAGACCAAAAGAGAATAAAAAGACAACAAGAAAAACTAGCGGCTGACACGCGTCCCCCTCGTGATACAAGCTGCAATGTGTAATGGACAAGTACGAAGTGGCGATAGCTGGATCAAACAGAATTGTAATTTGGCCGTAAGGGTCAGACTCGTGTGGCGGCAACCGGATAGCGTTATGCAACTCGGCGAGAGGAGAGAGCTAGCAAGAGCAAGAAAGATGCATATCTATACATATGTTATATATATAATATATATCATATGTTATATATATACATACATACATATACATATACGTTCATATCTACAAACACACACATATACATACTTATTTGGAGGAGTATGAGGGTGCGTGTGTCTGTGTGGGTGTACACACACACACACATACATACATACATACATACATGTCTGCATACACACACACATACATACATACATACATGTCTGCATACTCACACACACGCATACATACATACATACATACATACATACATGTCTGCATACACACACACACATATGTCTGCATACACACGAGTAAATATATATATATGCCTACATACATACAAGGAGAAGGAGAAGGAAAAAAAAGTGAAAAGAAAGATATAGAGAGAAAGAGAAAGAGAAAGAGAAAGAGAAAGAGAAAGAGAAAGAGAGAAAAAGAGAAAGAGAAAGAGAAAGAGAAAAAGAGAAAGAGAGAGAGAGAAGGATAAAGACAAACAAACGGAGAGGCACCGCGACAGAGCCAGAGCAGGGTACCTCAGTGACGTAGTGACTTCAGGGTATAGATGAGGGAGGGGCGAGGGGGGGAGGAGGGAGGGGCGAGGGGGGGAGGAGGGAGGGGCGAGGGGGGGGAGGAGGGAGGGGCGAGGGGGGGAGGAGGGAGGGGCGAGGGGGGGAGGAGGGAGGGGCGAGGGGGGGAGGAGGGAGGAGCGAGGGGGGGAGGAGGGAGGGGCGAGGGGGGGAGGAGGGAGGGGCGAGGGGGGGAGGGGGTGTCAGGTGGAATTACAAATTATTCGGAGAGAAACCTAACACTACCATTAGCCACAAACGCCATCTCTGGAAAACCAGGAAGTTGATGGGGAACGAAAAAGGGAGGAGGAGGAGAAGGAGGGAGGAAGAGGAGGAGGGAGGAAGAGAAGGAGGACGAAGAGGAGGAGGGAAGAAAGAGGAAGGAAGAAGGAAGGAGGAAGGTGGAGGAAGAAAGAGGAAGGAAGAAGGAAGGAGGAAGGTGGAGGAAGAAAGAGGAAGGAAGAAGGAAGGAGGAAGGTGGAGGAAGAAAGAGGAAGGAAGAAGGAAGAAGGAAGGTGGAGGAAGAAAATGAAGGAAGAAGGAAGGTGGAGGAAGAAAATGAAGGAAGAAGGAAGGTGGAGGAAGAAAATGAAGGAAGAAGGAAGGTGGAGGAAGAAAATGAAGGAAGAAGGAAGGTGGAGGAAGAAAATGAAGGAAGAAGGAAGGTGGAGGAAGAAAATGAAGGAAGAAGGAAGGTGGAGGAAGAAAATGAAGGAAGAAGGAAGGAAGAGAAGGAAGGAAGAAGGAGGAAGAGAAGGAAGGAGGAAGAGAAGGAAGGAAGGGAAGGAAGGAAGGAGGAGGAGGAAGAGGAGGAAGGAAGAGAAGGAAGAAGGAAGGAAGAGAAGGAGGAAGGAGGAAGGAAGAGAAGGAGGAAGGAAGAGAAGGAGGAAGGAGGAAGGAGGAAGGAAGAGAAGGAAGGAAGGAAGAGAAGGAAGGAAGGAAGAGAAGGAAGGAAGGAAGAGAAGGAAGGAAGAGAAGGAAGGAAGAGAAGGAAGGAAGAGAAGGAGGAAGGAGGAGGAAAGAGGAGGAAGGAGAAGGAGAGAGTAGGAGGAGGAAGAGGAGGAAGGAGAAGGAGGAGGAAGGAGAAGGAGGAAAGAGGAGGAGGAAGGAGAAGGAGGAAGGAGGAGGAGGAAGGAGGAGAAAGTAGGAGGAGGAAGGAGGAGGAAGGAGACGGAGGAAGGAGGAGGAGGAAGGAGGAGGAGGAAGGAGGAGGAGGAAGGAGGAGGAGGAAGGAGGAGGAGGAAGGAGGAGGAGGAAGGAGG